TGGAATTAATGAAAATTCTCCATGCTCATAAGCAATGGAAGGCTGAGAAAGCAATTGAATCGTGAATTACATTAGAGGAATCATGTAATTTGTTCAATAATGAAAGCAATTCCATCGTTCTTTTGTATCAGTACTACAGTAGGACTCCTATAATTTCGACCCGATGGGGGAACGAATCCAGAGAAGTCGAAAATAGTCAGCCGAACTCTCATTGGCCAAGCGCGCGGAGTGGGGAGGTCAGAGAGAGAACGCTTTATGTTGCTCTCTGTCTTCGGCCGCCGGGCAACAGTGAGTACATAAGTCCAAAGTACATTTTTCCCAATGGTTGAGGTTAGAGAAACACTCGGGAGGATAGGGCTATGCGCCCGAGAGATGATGTTGATGTTTCTCATCCTTCCATTTTCTCCATTAATTCACTCAAAATGAACTGACAATCGTCACTCTCTTCCATGAACCGACAAAGATTCTGGAAAGCTGCTTCCCAACCTTCGATTTTCGGCCTCCCCAGACTGGTACTTCTTGGAACATACTTGAAACTCTCATAGTACGCTGTATGATAACGCCCCTGGACTCACAACAAACATGTCGACTCGATTCTCCTTCGAACAATCTGGGACTACTCATCATTGCGAAGATTGGCCCACATTTCGATGTTCTCTTGCAAATGTTTTGTCATTACAAGCCGTCCAGGTTTGTTTTTCGGGATTCACGGTGTTGCATACAAGAAACAATGCACCTTGAGGTCAAATTGTTGCTGCTCATCCACTGTCGATGACGTTGAAGGTGTCACTGTCGTTGAGTTCTTTCCTTTTCTACCCAGAGCATAATTGAATCTACATAACTCATGAACTTTGATTTCGGTGAAATTTTCGATGTTTTTCCACTTGTCATCTTGATATTGTTTGCTTTTATTAATCAAAGCATTGATGTCTTTTTGTTTAACCGTGGTGATTTTCGCAAGATCATCACCCAACTCTCCTTCAGAAACGAAGCATATAAACGGTTAAGAAATGTCGAAATTTTACTGATAGTCAAACCACGAGCGAACGATCTATTCAAAATATTCACTGAGGAAAGATACGGGAACTGAATATACACTACGTGGTAATAGTAAATCCCTCACGAACAGGCTGTAAGGCCCCAGTCCAGCTCTGTAGCTAGCGCAGCTGCTTTTCCAGATCATAGGAGAGAGGACCAGGTATACAATCGTTCGTCGCAAGGAATCGCAGCAACAGGACACATACTTTTGACTCTCCAAACTTTGGATACAATCAATGCTAACTCCGTGCTATTCAAACGACGCAAACGTTTTGGCTGTGAAAAATGTACTGACTGAATTCGCAAGTCTCCAGGGATTAAACAGTATTCAGCAATTATGACAGGGAATATTGAGTCTGTTGAGATCGGGTAGGACGCCCTTCCTGTTCCTCTGTCCAGTAAATGGCGTTGCATACTGCACCAGTCATGAATGGAGCGATAGAGGGTGTCATGGGTCTGAGGGGGAGGGACGACTGATCCCTACTCGGCAGAAGCCATGTGGCCGTTACTTTGTGCGTTATTAGTATTTTCCTTCTTTTTCACTCTACCGATTTCATTGGTAATAAGCTTCCGAATGGGAGCAATTCCGATTTCAAAAATGAAAAATCAGTGCTGCTCACTTACTTCTAGGTCGGAGTGCGATTGGTAAAGTGGAATTGACCCTTTTTAGGTCACACCAATAAATTTTCGGACTAATGACTGACACACACATACATACACCCATATTGATGATATTTACAAATTATGGAACCAAAGTCTAATCATTTTGCAATCATGAGGGAAACGGGTGGCTCAAAATGAAACAAAATAAATCATGAACAACTTCAAACTTATTACGATCCCAAATGGAAATGAGAGTAGAGTATCCCCAGTTCGTACCAAAAGTTCAAGAAAACACCCCACAAAAGTGAGTAATTATTAATTGTCAAGGGTAAAAAATCTCCGTCCCAGCTATGACATTCCATCAAATATCACATAATAGAAAATATAAAAAATCATAAATTTATATTATATGACTGTTGAAGTCTTACGGAGACAAAAATCATTGATAACATGACGATGTGTGATTTAAAAAGAAAAAGATTTTTGGATGAATCGCTCTACGCCAGTATGTACTGAATCGATTGACACAAAATTTTATAGACAAGTGTGGGTTAATAATACGAATCAGTAGTCAAAATCTCAGATGTTTATTTCCAGTTTTACGTGTATTATGGACACCACATGAACTTTTGGATGAAAAAAAAACAGAAAAACGTTGATATCTCTGAATCTTTGTATGGGCGGGTTGCATATTTTGATTGATCTTGATAGAAGGTACCATGACGAATATTTTGAAAAAAAAAGTGAATCGACCTAGTAGTTTAGAAATTATTGAGTATAACAGTTTTTCATAAAAAGATGAATGTCTCCTAAACTACTCATCCGATTCTACCCATCTACAAAATTTCAACTTCCTATCTTGATTTTTCATACAGTTATCGCGCGTACACCGATTTTCCCATCAAAATGAAAAATGCCAATTAATTAGCAAACCATCGCTAGATAGGTAGCAATATTATAAATTGATTCGATAGATATTATCACAAGGAATATTTTGACGTAAAAGAAATTCAATTCGGTCACGTACTTTTTGAGATATTGAGGAAAACAGATTTTTTAGAAATTGCTGTATCTCGAAAACTACTGCACCGATTGAGCTGAAACTGCGCCTCAAAATGCTCCAAAGTAATACCAATTAAATAACAAAATTTCAGATTTCTAGCTTGATCTTTAGTCCTTTTTTTGGTGTAATTTCTAAAAAATTTCGGAAAAGTGACCACACACTTTCGGACATAAATACACACATTTTCTAAAAACATCATATCTTCACGTTTCATAAAATTCTACATCATTTCCAGGCAAAATTGGAAGATCGCAAAAATCATCGGTCACAATGCTTCCATTCGGAAGCAAAAAAACTAGAGATAATATTAAGTTGTTACATTAGTTAAAACATGAAAAACTTTATGAAAAAAATTACTTCTGCTTCATAAGATTCCTGTTCTCAGTCTATGACAGTCAGAATCAAATGTTATGAGAAAAATTACTCCTTCTATTGAATAAACCAATTGATATGAAGCAGTCATTTTTTGGTGTGTATACATTGCAACTTTATCTAATACACTGTTAGAAATCTTTCGAAATTTCCCGGAAAATATGGTAGTAATTCTAATGAGAGTGACATTGAATCCGATTTAGGAGAAAAATGGTCATGACTTTCCAAGTTAGGTAGAATTAGGTAGAATTCAAGGAAATTCATGAATTTTTGGTGACAGTGAGGCGCAAATTTCACAACTTGATTGAATTTTCAATGGAACATGAACATTCAGAAACAAAATGACATAAATTTTCAATTTTTCCCTGAATTTTTCAAATTTTCACAAAAAAATTGAACAGAAAAATTGAAAATTTTATTGATTTTCAGATCATTCAAACAGAAAAACAATGGAATATTTGATTTTTCAATGACAAGATTTGATGAAAATTCAGTGGAAATTAAACAAGACAAAAATTTCCAGGATTTGACACGGTAAATTCAGACGAAAATTTTTAAGAGTGCAACTGGTCTGATTCATTAAAAATTCTCCGAATATTGTCAGCAGGGCCTATTATATTCACTTAGAGTCCTACACAATTATTCACATCTTTGGAATTGAATTCAGGAGCTTACTTGGATTTCCATTTGTCGATTGATATTAATAGTCAATTAATTTATAGAGAAGGCATTTTTAAACCTTATAGACTACTGAAAATATGAAGATTTTTAGATTGTTCAATTGAATTTTCAGTGAAAATTGATTGCTAAATGGATCAATTTACTGCGCAGCGCGCGTGTGGATTTAGACGACATGTGTATTAATGAGACGGAGAAACTCCGTCAGCTAACGGTCTGGGGTGATTGGCGACGGAGAAAACTTAAACAATTATTTGCATAAAAAATCGAAAGCATAGCTTTCCGCATCAATCTTGGAGATTATTGTTTTCTCTACAAATTGGTATTTTTTTTTGATTCGTTAAGTTAACCCATTTTACGACCGAGCGATTTCCTACGTTTTGCCATCTCATAATAATGTGCGTGAGTTGCCGTACTTAAATTTCAATGTTTCCCGACAATTGGTTGCCGAGATCTTCGAACATGCTAAATTTATTTATAACAGACAAATTATTCAACAAATCGAAATTTAACTTCTGCCATTCAATAGCAGGATCATTGAAGTATTTTCAGTAGCAATCTCAAAATTGTTGGGGAAAATTTTGTCGATAAACGAGATGATTTAATATGATTGACTCGGTTGGATGTAAAATTTCCATCTAGAACTTTTGTTCATAGAAAAAAATATTATAAATGCATTGAAAAAAAATAAAATAAAATAGTTCACTGCCGAAACAATTCCATTGACTTTCCAAATATCTTTTCCAAATGTCAATAGGTCTCTTAGAATTCGAGAAAATTATTTTTTACTGTCGACGGAAAGGGTCGAACCATGCATTGAACTCGGCCGATAGGACAAGTTTATGGGTCGATGCATGGTATCGACGCCGTACGTGAGGGGTTAATATAACGAAAGTTTTTTAAACATGAACCCATTTCAGGTCCCCCTCAGTTCTTTCCAAAAATCTTTGTACTTGCCTTTCAAAGCCTCTCATTGCAAACTATGTCCCAGAATCTACTTGACTGAAGTCAGGCTCGACCAAAATCAAATTGCAATGCCGGTTCGCACATTTCTCACTGAAACTTCATTGAAACCGTCGATTCCGATGGGATTTTTTATTTGAGGAACTTTCAATTTGAATTCCTCGTTCTTAATTTAAGGGAAAAGTCTCCATCTGGGTTAGTTATCATGCAGAAACTGATATCAAAGTAGAATTAAACCACTTGGGTTTCCCACTTCACTTATAATTCCAGCTTCAAACATTACCTTGTTGTAATAACACGGATATCTACTCTGTGCCGTCTGATTATCCCCATCTCTCCCATGAGTATGCAGAAAATCTCTACACTCGCCTCTCAAAGTATTCACGCAACCCTCGAGATTGATGTAGAGCCTCGAGGTATTATAGATGGTGAGTGATCGTTGAGAGGGTAAATACACGTCAGTCTTGTCCACCGGGTTTCCCAAGTTATTCTCGTATAGCTTCAGAAAAGTTGTGAAATTGATGTAGGGCTGAAGTATGGATGTTTCCTCCACTAAGCTACCATTCACGCAGTCTTCGGTTCTGTGAAATGGATAGAAAGAAAACATAAAGTGTTATTTATCAAAATATTTTGTGAGAGCGATCGATCTTTATTAATGTCAATATTGTTTTTAGAGCGAACACGGCAAAGGGTGGTTGAATTCTTCCGGACCGTTGACAAGTATTTTCTTTGATGTGAAATAAACTGAGCGACAAGTGATTGTTGAAGTGGTTGTTCTGTTATCAATTTGCACTGAAGAAAATTTTTGTTTATATTTATCGATAGAAAATCTATGGAGTTCTAGACAAATATTGAAATTTTCGGATTTTTACTGGAACTAACCGAGAGCAATAGAAAAATATTCAACAGGTTTGCGTATGTACCTCGACTACATGCCCATAGTAGAGGATTTCCCAATACCCTTGACCCAAATTTCAGGAGATGAAAGAGGATAAACTTCTGAGGCTGAAGTTCCTCTTCGACTTTTGGCTTCGGGCGATAGTTAATGAATTATTAACCAATAATGGTGACCCATGACATTGTGGCTCGCACCGTTGCCGGGGTGGAATTACTACGGCATAAGCACTGGTAGACTTAGACGACCAGATTTTATCAGCATTTTGGTTAAATGCATCATTACAATCAAAACTACTTTCACAGCAAGTTAATTTCATTTTTTTTTATTAAGCATTTTTAAACCTTAAAAGTTTAATTTGCATACAATAAACAATATACATGGTTTTCGTACATAAGACTTAGATTACATTGACTTTATATTTTAATCGAACATTTGTCCAGGAATTCATTAATAATGACGAGCGAGTTTTTATCTAATCTGGCCAAAAACTCCCCGGCACAATATGGTGGAAAAAAGTTTTTCTCGCATAATTTTTTGACCATTATTTCTCTAGCATTAGTGTACTTCGGACATTCCCATAAGATATGATTTATATTTTCTTCTTCGTATCCACACTGGCATATTGGGGAATCAGTGATCCCAATTCGCGCCAGTGATTCTGCTAGGCTGTGATGATTAGCCCTGGCTCTATTGACCTAGGAAATAATTTTCCGAGGTAACTTTTTACCTTTGAACAATAACTTCGGGATTGATTTCGGTGATTCCGGGAAGAAACTAAATTATGACTTAGTCGATTGCGATATTATTCCGTGACTGACTTTAGATGATTTAATAGATTAAAAATCAGTGATTTCAGAGGCAATGAAATAATTGAAATCACGATGAATCACGTTCGTTGGATTCTCATACAAAATATTCATTAATTTTAAATGACTTCGGTATGATTTCAAGACATCAGCGTGTTTTCGGAAATGATTTCAGAGGATTGAAATCTGGGATTTCGATGATTTTAATAATTTTAAAAATCATTTCGGATTGATTTCATCACAGAGTGGCGCCATGATTTCGGGAGTGAGTAGCCCCTCGACTATATGAACAACTCCATGGACAGAATGGAATTAATATGACTGTGACTACGCCCACCTCCAAATCTTACCCCCTGTCATTAGGACAGCACTCAACTGACGCATACTGAAGTATACTTATAGTTCAATGAGTTTGACCGAAATGATTGCTGCGATAAGATTCAATCTTCATACTTGATTCCTGGACAAATTAAATCACGTTCCCGACCCTCGAATCTCAAATTTCTCAAATATTTGTGGGCCATATTGTGGTCCGAAAAAAATTCCTGAAATATATAGGGGAGACCGGGGCAAAACGGAGTGGTCGGGGCATAGTGGGGTACATAAAAAAGGCTAAAATTTAGAAATTCAAGGAGTTGATGAGGGGCCGATCAGGGTTCAATAAAAAGTCAAAGCAAGCAGGGGGCAGCGAGCATATGGCAGTGAACATTTCACTCATTAATTTTTTTTTACACTTTTTTTGCCATCAATAAATTGATAGTGGGCTTCCGAATGGTTTTTAGTGTAATAAAGTTTGATTTTGCTACGAAATTAAAGGAAACCTATGCCACCATAAAATCCGTGCGTAAAACAAGCACTTTATGGGCACTAAACGGTTTCGAAAAGTGAACTTTCCAGGCAGGTATCACAAAAAATTTTTTTCTTAATTGAAATCGTTTGGGTAGTTTTCGAGATATTTTCAAACAAGTTGTGACATTAGTTGTGGTATTTTTAAAATATCAGGCAATGTGAAAGGTGGCATGTTGAGACAACAAGTGATAATCGATGGAAACTCTTTAATCTCTCGAATATTCAAGATACTAGGGAGCTGCGCCCCCCCCCCCCCCCCCCCCCCCCC